ATCCCTGGGTGGGCCTGAAAACATGCCGGGTGTGTGGGCACATGGTCAGGATACCAATGAGCTGGGGGATAGACTCAAGGGGATCACAGCATGAAGAGATCCTGTTGAGGGTGCTTCCCTCTTTCTCTTCCTAGTGTACATGCTCCATCATAAATAAAAGAAATAAGTAAACAATTTCAGTTGCGCAAAGGGTCTGCAGAGGCTCATAATGGCCTTACCCAGAGAGCAGAAGCATTGTGCTCTTTTACAAGCCCCAGACCTTCATAAAAGGTAAACATGATGCCAACCTCAATTTCCACACGTGAACTCTTATGATCTACAATACCCAAGACGAATTTTGTTTGTTTTCACAACTCACTTATTGAATTGGGGCAGGTGATTTAACAGCAAATTAGTAGATAAGGCTGGTAAAGAAGACATCCTGCTCTCCCGCCCAGAAGCCAGTGTGTCACAGATACTTGTAAAGGTTCTCAAACTGCCATCGTGTTGGGCACGCTGGCTCTGAAGCTACACGTCAGCATACGTACATTCTAGGGCTCTCGGGCATTCCCTGGGCTAGTGGTTGACTCCGACAGGCAGCTTTGTTGTCTGGAAGTGGCTGGTGGAGATCCTGCTTGCATGATAACACAGTTGGGTGAAGTTTTGCTCGCAGAAACACAGCAGCCTTCCTTTTTGACCGGAACTGTGGTGTCCATTGGAAGCCTCAATCCCAGCCCTGACCCCTATAGCTGATACACCCTCAAGACTGCTTTTCTTGCTTCTCTAGTAAGTGGGAGCTTGGAGTCAGATTAATTTTATTTAGAGAAGTTTTAAAGTCTTGAAACTACATTAAGTATAAAAGATAACATAGCCATTTCTTATTGCTAGATTTGTAGAATAAATCCACCACTCTCTAGTCAGTATGTTGAGTTGTGTGAGTCCCTCTCATTGCTGAGGAGCTGACCCCCCCTAGGCTCATGGTTCCCTGGGTCATCTTAAAGGGAAGGCCCTCCTAGCCTGTGGCATGCCTAGGCTAGGCTCTGCAGAGCACTTCTCAGATGCTATCTCCACGTGGAGTTACAGTGGGAATCCTTGGCCCCCCGACAGGTGCAATAATCCAGGTTCACTGCACTCGTCACATTTAATAGAGTTCTCTGTGATGGCTGGAAGCCTCTGCACACACAGCTCCTGCATCCATCACGATTTCACTGCTTCCCAGTCCTGAAAGTCACCCCCTCCAGGGCAGCGGTGGGATGTGGGAACCAAATGCTCTCTCCATTCAGAGGAAACTTGCCAGAGAGAACATTCCAGATAGAAGGCTGAGGTGAGGGCTGTGCAGTGGCCAGGAGAGGCCAGGAAGCTCTCCCAGGCATCTCACTGAGGTCTGAGGGCATGGCTGGCTGCGACTGCTCTGCCCTTCTGGCTGACTGATGGACACACTGACTGACCCTCCTCTGGAGCCTTGGACTCCCCCCATACCTCCACCTCTTAGAAAACTCCACAGGTGGATAGAGATAGCTGCAGGTCACCCTAAGAGGATATGTGACGACTGTTCTTAAAACTGAGCTTTTTGTCCTAACTACGTAAGTATGTAACTTGAGAGAAAATGTAGAAAAGTATACAGAAGAAAATCTGAAGGTCCAGCAAAAGGACAATGCCGTGCTGTATATGCATCCAGTGTACTCTTTCATCAAGCCAGGAGTCAGGCCAAGGAAGCCATTTTCTTCCCAGGCTAAACTAAAAGGAGTATTCATTGTAAAAGTGCTTAAACATTAATAAAAGTAGAGAGAGCAATGGAGGAAACACTGAGATACCTGCCATGCAGGTTTTTGTTTGCTGCTTTTTAAAAACTGTTCAAAGCTTTTTTAACATTTTAGTTGGAAATAATCCCAGTGTGCATCTCCTAAGATGTGTTGGAATGTGGGACATATGAGATGATTAGGGCATGAGGGTGGAGCCCTCATGAATGGATTACAGGCACACCTTGGAGACATTGTGAGTTCAGTTCCAGGCCACTGCAATAAAGCAAAGGTTTCAATAAATCAAGTCACATGTATTTCTGGCCTTTCGGTGCATATAAACGCTGTGTTTACACTGTACTGTAGACTATTTAAACTGTATAATAGCATTATATCTAAAAACAAAACAATGTGCATGCCCTCTAGTTGGATCTTTTGTCCAGCCACTAAAACTTTCTTCATATCAGCAGCAAAGACATTTTGCTTTCTTATCATTTGTGTCTTCACTGGAGCAGTACTTTTAATTTCTTTTGAGAACTTTTCCTTTGCATTCACACCATGAGGCCTCCAGCTCCCAAATATGACCAGTGTTTTCTCTCTTTCTTGGCTAACAGGAACAAAATGCCTAGCTTTTGACACATCTTCCTCACTAAACTTAATCATAATCATTAGTAGCTTCTGATTTAACATGAGAGACTTATGACTCCTTTCACTTAAATACTTAGAAGTGTTGTGGGGTTACTGGTTGGTCTAATTTCAGGAATAGGGGGATCTAGGTGAGGGAGAGAGACAGGAGAGTGACTGCCCAGCAGAGCAGTTACATACACCAGATATAGTGATTCAATTTGCCATCTTCCATTTGTGTGGGTGCAGTTCATAACACCCAGAACAATTCGATAGTACCAGCAAAGATCACTGATTCCAGGCCCAGCCTGGTGGCACAATTGGTAGCAAATTGAACTGTAGAGCTGGAAGCCATGTGGTTGCCTGTGGTTTGAATCCCCAGGTCAGCTAATAAGCATACTAGGCATGCGCACACATGCCCAAGATCTTAAAGGGCTGGAGGGCTGGGGAAAGAGGGTTACAATATAATGAGACCTTGTCAAAAATACTCTCCCTCTCGTTGGCATACACTCTGCATTACAAATAAACAAAACTTTAAAAGATCACAGATCACCATAACAGAATAATGATGAAAAAGATTGGAATATTGTGAGACTTCCCAAAACATGGCACAGAGACACAAAGTGAGCACACATGATTGGAAAAATAGCACTTACAGACTTGCCAATGCCGGCTTGCCACAAAACCTTGCTTTGTAAAAAATGTAGTGTCTTTAAAGCACAATAAAGCTAAGTTCAGTGACATGAGGTATGCCTGTAAAGCCTGTAATGCCCATCCTGCCATCTTGAATGGATTAATGAATTAATGAGGCTCTTCCCACACAAATGGATTAATGTTGCTCTCAGGAGAGTGGTTTCATGATCATGATTGTGGCTGGGGTTCAGAATGAACATCGCCCATGAGGAAGAGATGGCCATCACCTGTGCAGTCATTTGGCCTCAAATGCAGCACCTTAAGCACAAGGAGACATCTGTTAACCACAGGCGAGAAATGTTCTATTGGGTGGCTTGGAAAGTCGTGACACATTTTTGCACAGAAAAACAGACAAACACATCATGACTTTCCCAATGACCTAATTATTTAAAAATGTCAACATCACAGGAAACAAATTAAACAAAACATTGAAAATGTTCTAGATTCAAGGAGGTGGAGAAGATACAACAGCAAAATGCAATACCTGGCTCTACATTGGATCCATTGCCTTTATTAGGTCATTAACATTGGAATATTGATGGCAGATTAAAATGTATCAATGTAAATTTAAGAACCTGCAACTATATTAAGGTTTAATGTGTCTTAGCCCATTTTCTGCTTGCTATAGCAGAAAACCACAGACTGGGTAATTTATGAAGAATTTACTTATTTGTTTAGCTTACAGTTTATAGCTGGGGAGTCCAAGGTTGACAGGCTGGCATCTGGCGAGGCCTTCTTGCCATGTTCTCACATGGTGAGAGGGTGAGAGAGTCAGAGACGGCTTGCTTTTACAGCAAAGCCACCTCCATGTGTGGTTTTGTTTTCTTTCTTTTTTCTATTCCTGAAGTTTATTAAATGGACAAATTGGGGATTAATCATAGAAGAGCATAGGAGGGGCCAGCAGGTGGCATGGTGGTTAAGGTGCTGAACTCCCATGTGGTCAACCACAGTTCAAGGCCCAGACCTGGTGGCTTTAAAATCATGTTGGGGGTGTGTGCATGTGTGCCCAAAATCCCAGAAGTCTCTCTTTCTGTCTCTCTCTGTTTTTCTGGTGAGTGCATGTGCCCTACAGCAAAAACCTCTCCAAAAAAAAAAAAAAAAAAAAGAAAAGAAAGAGAGAACACACTGGCCATATTTGGGAGCCGGAGGCCTCATTCATTCATCTACCTAGTCATCCCATGGAACTTAAGTGAGCTCCTACTATGTGCAGTAATGAAAGAGACATCAGAATGTCAGCAGAGGTGGGAAGCGGTGATAGTACACGGCATCAACAGGTTATCTTAAGGTACCCTGACACCCATCTACCAGCCCCTTGTTCTACTGACTGCTCCACCTTAGTCCGCTTCTACTGGCTGACTGCTAGTTCTCAATATTATTGCTCTAAGGGTAGTTGCTTAGGGTTCCCCACAACATTACCTTTATTCACATTCCATCTGTATGACAGCTAGACCACACATCTCACCATGAGGTAAATGCTTCCATCCCACAGAATCCCAAGGCTTGGGATCCGCTTTTGGGATATCCCAAATGTATGATGTGGTCGGGCCCCTCTGGACACAAAGGAGCCCAGCAGGTGATGGTGGGAGAAGGTCAAATCTGACAAGGAGATAGGATGGGATGGGGTGAGGGAAAGCTACTCCAAATTCAAGTCCAAATTTCTCAGCTACTTGCCATGTTGCCCAGCTCCACTGCCATTATACATTGGTTGTATCAGTGACTCCATTCACACATATTGTTCAAATGCATATTAATGTGAAAATGCATACTGTGTACTATAAAACAAGTAAGGCATAGAAGGCAGCAGCCAGAGAGCAGCCATTGTCCTTCCCAGCTCTGCCCTGGGGCCTCACTGAGCCTAGCATAGACTATCCACACAGTTCACTCAGGCATTAGCTTATCATGTGATTGCATATCCCCAAACCCTTCAGAACTAGGGCATTTCTCAGAGCTGTGACTCACCATGGCTGGCAATTTTAGAAATGCACCGATGACAAGCCTTCTCCAGACCACCTGGCATTATTCTTCCTTGTTGACAAAGTTCTGGGGATCAAAAGTAATTCATTAGAAAGACTGATAGAAGAATTTACTCAACACCAATAATTATCAATACCTCTGTGCATGTCACTTGCAGCCTGTAGGGTTGCATCGGTCTGTTTGGGAGCCTGGGTGCTAACATCAAAGCTGGTCTGCCTGCAACTATGGCCTAATTATCAGGGATGAGAGAAGCACGGTCAGAGGTGAAGAGACTCACCCGTGATACTCAGCTGGGAAGACACAAGGCCTAGAGAGCAAGATAGTAATAGCCAGTGCTTACTGAGAGATTGCTGTGTGCTGGGTGTCAGGTTAGCTCTCTAACTTCTGTCCTAGATTTATTCCATTAAGTTAAACAAAGTAAACACTTAATCAGAACTTAACATCTGTCCTAGAATTGTTCCACTAAGTGAAGCAAAGTAAACATTTAATCAGATCTTAACAGTTAGCTCTTTATACACATCATCTCATATTTCGTCTGCAACAATCCTATCTGAGATGTATTATTAACTCTGTTTTACAGATGAGCCTTGGCAACTCAGAGATATTTACCTCAAAGCCAGAGATGGCAACTGGTAGAGGTCCAGTTTGATCCTGGTATCCGTACAGAGCTGGAATTCTCACTTCCTGGCACTGCTCCACCCTCTGAAGGCCTGAGGTGGAAGGGCAATCATGGGTTTGATGGCAGCAGCTGACAAAGACCCAGAAGGCCTGGATAGACACCCTGGCCTCACCATGGGTTTTCTAGGGCTTGCTATGGTCTAAGCTGACTGACACTGTGAGAAAGGGCTTCCCTTTCCAGGAAGAAATAGCCACAAAATCTAAATCCACAACAAAAATCCAACCTAGGACAACCCAAGATGGCAAATTTTCGTGTCTGGTGAAATGAGGTGGCACTGGAAGCATTAGGCAGGGTGGGGTATCTCTCAGTCCCTTAGCCCCTGAGACCTGGATATGAGTTATTGCACTATTAAATTTCATTGCTTGGGAGGGAGTCTCCATGCAGGCCAGCTGACCCAGACAGGATCTGGGAAAACATCCTTACTTCACACACAGTCTCTCCAAGAACCTGTGCCAAATAGGAAAGGCTCTATCTGAAAGCACACCTATAAAAAGCCATCTTCTTACTGCAAGGTTTGCAAACCAGGGGACAGTGGCATCTCAGCAGCATTGCCTACAGGCTTTGCTGAGTGAAGGAGGCCTCAGTGCAGGGAGCAGGCAGTGACGGGGTCCTGGAACCCTTTGTGCCCTGCTTGGTGCTGAGGGTCCTATCAGACACTCAGGGGGCTGGCTGATGCAGACAGGATCTGGGAAAACAGATCTGGGTGAACAAGGCCTCAGTGCAGGGGAAAAGGCAGTGCCGGGGAGGATTTGTGGTGCAGGGACAGAGGTAAGAAAGATGACAGAAAAAGGAGATTGCTGGCCATCAGTATGGTCCTGCTGGCAGAAGGCCACCCCCACAATTCCTCTGACAGCTTCTCTCTCCAGCTGATCCTCTGCTAACTTGTGGACAGGGTGATTTAGCCAGAGCTTTAGGCTCCCAGGATTAGGATGGGATATAGGGTTCTATTTCCCAGCACTTTGCTTCTAAGACATGCCATGCTCAAAGCTTGGCGTTGATATCTGCAGGGTCTCCTCTATTGTGGGAGGCAGTGAGATGGCAGATGGGCCCAACCCAAAGCAGAGTGTATCCCAGCACCTGCTAAGGTCTTCTACATGTTACCTCGTTCAAACCCTCCAGCTTGCAGGGGACAGACATGCCCTATTTTACAGAGAACAGTAAGATTCAGATCAATTTGTTTGCTCAAAGTCACTCGGCTAGTTAGTGGTAGAACTGGGATTTGAAACGAGGCCTCACGACTTTCCCTGAAACCTGGTCTCTGTGACTTCAAAACACAGTCTCTTCACCTCACCCCACAGTGAGAGAACAAAGGGGAAGCAATCCAGAAAAGAAAGGCTTCCCAAAGTGAGTCAGGAACGACACAAGGAGAACACGGCGCCTTCTGATCAGCCCTGGGGTGCTTGATCTGAGTTAACCAGACAAGGACAATTCTTTCACCTCACAGGTGAGAAAGCTGAGGGCTGGACAGTCAAGAACTCGCCCAGGATTGCACAGCTAGATAGGAGCTCAGGCGTCTACTGCCAGACTCAGTAGCCTGCTCTTTCTCATCCAGAACCGACCCTGGTAGTTTTGACTATGGTGAGGTGATAGGACACAGCCCCAAGCAGAGCACGAAGGGTTCCAGGACCCTGTCGCTGCCTGTTCCCCTGCACTGAAGCCTCCTTGGCCCAGCATGGCCTGCAGGCAATGCCACCAAGATGCCACTGTCTTCTGGTTTTCAAATCTCCGCAGTAAGAGGTGCTTTTTAAAAGCATACTTTCAGGGGCCAGCAGGTGGCATGGTGGTTAAAGGTGCTGGACTCCCACATGGCCACCTGTGGTTCAAGTCCTGGACCTGGTGGCCTGCTTTCTCTCTATTTCTCTCTCTCTTCCTCTGTCCTTCTCTGGTCAAATTAAAATAAATAAATAAAGTTAAATCAAATAATTTCTTTCTTTTTTTTTTTTTTTTGGAGAGGTTTTTGCTATAGGGCGTGTGCGTTCACAAGAAAGACAGAGAGAGGAGAAATAAGATTTACAGGAGACTAAAGTATGTGTCTCTTACTCCAGCTAGTGGTCTAAGGTACACATGTTTGTGCTGTTACATCGTAAGACAGACAGATACAGGCGGTTTCCCCAAACCAGCTGTGGATCTAAGACTGGAGTGCCTTGGGTTGTAGGTGTGATAGAAACAATTCAATGTGTTTCAAAGGAAATTTACGAATTGGAGGCAACTCCACCAGTAGCTCCAGTTTGCTCGTATTTCTCCTCCCTCTGTCATTTCTCTTCTATGAGGTAGGAGGAACATACTGTGCGTGGCCTATGGCTAGATGTGAAGTCCATACCCACCCCTGAGGAAAGTCCACAGCTTCATTCCTTCTCTGGTCAAATTAAAATAAATAAATAAATTTAAATCAAATAATTTCTTTCTTTTTTTTTTTTTTTGGAGAGGTTTTTGCTATAGGGCGTGTGCGTTCACAAGAAAGACAGAGAGAGGAGAAATAAGATTTACAGGAGACTAAAGTATGTGTCTCTTACTCCAGCTAGTGGTCTAAGGTACACATGTTTGTGCTGTTACATCGTAAGACAGACAGATACAGGCGGTTTCCCCAAACCAGCTGTGGATCTAAGACTGGAGTGCCTTGGGTTGTAGGTGTGATAGAAACAATTCAATGTGTTTCAAAGGAAATTTACGAATTGGAGGCAACTCCACCAGTAGCTCCAGTTTGCTCGTATTTCTCCTCCCTCTGTCATTTCTCTTCTATGAGGTAGGAGGAACATACTGTGCGTGGCCTATGGCTAGATGTGAAGTCCATACCCACCCCTGAGGAAAGTCCACAGCTTCATGAGGGTCAGCAGGTGGCATGGTGGTTAAGGCACTGGATTCCCACATGGCTGACCATGATTCAAATCCTGGACCCAGTACCTTGAAAATCATGCCAGGCGTGTGTGCATGCATGCCCAAGACCCTGAGAGAAGAATGGAGGAGAAGGGATTGCGGTGTGGTCATCCCCCCTGGGGGGTGATTTCTCGCTTTCTATCTCTCTTTTCCCGTTTTCTTCCCCCCTGCCTCTCTCTGTCTTTCTTGTGAACGCACACGCCCTATAGCAAAAACCTCTCAAAAAAAAAAAAGAAAGAAAGAAATGATTTGATTTAACTTTATTTATTTATTTTAATTTGACCAGAGAAGGACAGAGGAAGAGAGAGAGAAATAGAGAGAAAGCAGGCCACCAGGTCCAGGACTTGAACCACAGGTGGCCATGTGGGAGTCCAGCACCCTTAACCACCATGCCACCTGCTGGCCCCTGAAAGTATATATGTAGGTATGCACACATGTATGCATGCATGTACACACATTTCAGATGATTGTAATCATCAGGCACATTAAATGAACACTTCATCTTTTTTCCTTTTCCTTTTTTATAATTTTTTTAAAAATTTTCCAGAGGGGGGACCAGCAGTTAGCGTAATGGCTATGTCGCTGGACTCCCACGTAGTCGACCGCGGTTCGAGTCCCGGACCCGGTGGCTTAAACTCACGCCGGGCGCGTGAGCGTGCGTGCCCAAGATCCCGAGAGGAGAATGGAGGAGAAGGGATTGCGGCGTGGCCATCCCCCCTGGGGGGTGATTTCCTGCTTTCTATCTCTCTGTCGCTCTCTGTCTGTCTGGCGAGCGCACGCGCCCTATAGCAAAAAAAAACCTCTCCAAAAAAAAAAAAAAAAAAAAAATTTTCCAGAGGGCACATGAGCTCACCGGAGAGACACAGAAAGAGAGAGCGAGCAAAAATGAGGAAGCACCCCCATGGGGCATGGTTGCACCACAACCCCTTCTCCTCCATTTCTCCTTTCAGGATTTTGGGCATTCACACACACCTGTCTGGTGTGTTTTTTAAGCTACCAGGCCCAGGACGCAAACCTCACAGTCGGCCACGTGGGAACTGGCCACCTTAACCACCACAACACTGACTGACCAACGCTTCACCCTTTGACATAAGTATCGTTTCTGTTACTGGTGGTCTGTCTGCGTAGTGATCACTGTCAAGCTGTGCCATATTCCAGAGTGGGGCATGTCACACTAAACTTAACCATACCTCATCGTTGGGTATTTTCTTACTGGTTTTTTTTTTTTGCTATTATGACTAATCCTAAGAGACATAACTTTCTGTAAGAATGTTTTTTCCTATAAATTATGTAGTTCCCTTAGAATAAATAATTAGATGTGGTACTATTGAATTAATAAGCATGTGCAATTTTTTGGTTTGAGATAAAATTGATTTTCAAGGGAGTGTATCTATTTGCAGTGCCACGAGCAATGTGAGACTATTTCACCAACCCCTGGCCAGCACTGGATGTTAGAAAAACTAGCACTTTTTAAAGTTTCTTTCACAGACAAAAATGGAAATTATTGTTTTTATTTACATTTTTATTACCAGTGATATTGTGCATTCTTTCTATGCTTGTTTCTCAGTTGTTTGTTCCCTTTTGTAAATTAGTGCCCATGGGGACCAGCAGACGGCATAATGGTTACATTGTCGGACTCCCACATAATCTACTGTGGTTTGAGTCCTGGGCCTGGCAGCTTAAAACTCAGATAGGTACCTGTGTGTGCGTGCCCCAAATCCTGAGGGGATGACGGAAGAGAAGAGATTGCAGTGTGGTCATCCCCCCCAGGAAGTGATTTCTCACTTTCTGTCTCTTGGTCTCTCTCTATGTCTCTGGAGGGCACAGGAGTCCTATAGAAAAAAAAACTCTCTCTGAGAAAATTAGTGTCTATGATATGAATCTATTTCAATTCCAAGCAAGCCCACAAAATCTGCGATTTGAGAACACAGCAGTGAATCTGCTTTTTTATTCACAGAACTCACCATGTGAATTCACAGATTCAAGTATGCTACAGAAGACCTGTTCGCTATTGTGGTGAGAACTTGAAAAACTCATCAATTGCACACTCTCCCTCGCCCTTTCAAATGACAGCTCTTCCAAGACAGAGGCCGGGTCCCTGAAAGGCAGGAGACACTCGGGAGAGTGGCTCCATGCTAAGGACGGCAGTAAAGACACAGATTTTAGCCATATCTAAGCCTTCTAAGTACTAAGAAAATAGGAGTTTTTCATATGGGGCAGATGATTTTCTTATTTAGCAGAAATCTTGTTTTATGTTAAACTGCTTTATTACATCTTAAATAACAGTACTGCTCACTATAGTATCTATCTTACACCCCGCTTCCTTGTAGTACGCTGACTTCACATCGCATAGCAAAGGTGGAGCGGTAAAGGGTGCAGAGAGCTCTGCCTTTCACAGTTGTGCCCACGGCGGAGCTATCCGCTTATCGCTTCTACTCCGAGCACGCAGAGGGGAAGCAGTACAAGCAGCTCTACATGCTCGGGTCATGGGATAAGTTCCTGTCTTCTTTCTTCTTTTAAAACAAAAAGCAATCTTGTTGTAAATAATTCACGTTGGATTCTGAGATGGGGAGAGGAAGGGAGAAGAAGTGGAGAGCCTGCCCTTGCCCTCTATCAGGTCCTCACGGCCTGTCTCCCATAGAGCCAGCCTTTTGCATCTGAGGCAGATCATTTTCAGCAGAAATCTTAACAGGCAGAGATTAGGAGAGCAGGCTGGGTGTGAACAAGCAGTGACTTAGAAGTCTGTCCTCACGCGTGGCTGAGGTTGGACTGTGTGTCTCTCACTTGGTTCCGCACCCGGTAGGGTCCCTCACATCCCCCATTGCTTTCTCTCTAGAAGCTGAGCAATTATAAAGCCCATGAAGGGATTAGTCAGTAATAATTGCCAAGTTGACATCTCAACAGATTTCTAATTTTTTCAGTTGGTATATCTCGCCAGTCACCCCAGGAGACACGTGTCACTGTCTGGAGACATTTTTCACAGTCACGACTAGGGCAGGGAGACTGGAGATGCCGCATCCTACAGGGCAGAGAGCAGGCCCCCGTGTCAGACTCACATGGTCCCAAATGTCGAGAGTCCTGAGTCTGAGAAACGCTTCCTAGCTACCGAGCATTCCAGGTGTTGGTGTTCATATTTATAAAATACTACTTTATTTCGAACTTCTGATTTTTGTCATAAATCAAGCGAGCCTGTAAACGTGTCTACATTTCTGACCTCTAGCACTGGGTCGGTACTCCGCGTTACTGCTTTTCCACCCAAAGCTTTACTCCAAAGCAAGAACATCTATTCTCCTTGGAGAATAGCTGTCACTGCGGTGATGTGGCTTTGCTAAATTAAACTGTTTATTCCTCAGGGGAGGGGCGCCCCAGCTCCTCGTGTGGTTTTGACTAACATGGCAAGCTAAGCATTAAGCATCCCCACACCTGTTCCTGCGAGGACAGGTGTTAACTGTCCTGCCCTGTGGAAGGGTTCCACAAGTGTTTGGGTGCTCAGGACTCAATCCATCTTATCAGCTGCTCTCTTTGGACCCTGTGCTGTCTTCTCTCCTAACCAAGCCCTCCCCCAGGAATTCAGTGGAGGCTACTGCATACCTACTGTGTTCCACAGATTCTCCCACCTCCCTAGATCGCCTGCATTGTTCAATTCCTATGAAACGAAAAGCTTCCTGTGAGCTTTTCCGTCTTTTTCAAGTGACCGAGACAAGGCCACCTGCTCAGAGACCCAAGAAGAACATGGAGATAATTTCCGCGATCTCCACTGCCTCCCTGTAGCTAGCAGGTTTAGTTTGTGTTTGGTGTAACTCCCTTTTACCCTGGAGTTCATTATGATGACTGTCTGTGCTGAGAAAACCCATTTTCCTTACACTCACTGAAGATTAAAGTTTTCTTTGCCTCTACACAGTTAAGAAAAGCACTTCTACAATTGCCATTTTCTTTCCAGGAAGCAAAATTGGCATCTTCCCAAGAATGATTCCAGGAAACCCGCTGCTAGGAGTGTCTCTCCAACTTCTAAGGCGGCAGGAGGCAGTCCCGACTCACCCTTAGAGCTGAGGAACCAGGCAACACTCGCCAGGATGGGGCCGCGGTGGTCTAGGGCTCAACCACGCAGTTCCTCTTCACTTGCGGGGGGCTCCTCCTCTGTGTCGCACGCCCTCTTTTTCCGCGTCTCGCTTTGGATTTCTCTCCTGCAGCATGACAGCAACCCGTGGCTTTTCTTCCAAGGGGCGGATTATCTGCATTTCCCACTCCCACGTGTGGGCAGCGCACCCTCCACTGCCACCTCGCATACTCCTGGAGTACTTCCCAGGCCCGCAAGGGGGCAGCAGAGCAATCCCGGGAACCTGTTGGAAAACTGGCTGAATCCCTGAATTAGAATTTCTTTCTAAAATAATATTTATTTTATTTACTATTTTTATTAATTTGGTTTAGAATTTATGGTGGGTACATTTCACTTTAGACTGTGAGCAAGCCTCTTGTCCCTTTTTGCTCTCCCCGCGTGCTGGTGGCACAGTAGGAAGAGCAGACTGAAGAGGGACCCCTTGTAAACAGGGGGAAAGTACTTGCAGTGGGGCTTAGGACACCAGAAGGGCCTGTGTCCTTAGGACTGCCACAAAGAAAAGAGATTCGGTGGATTCCAGGTCACTCTAGACGCCAGATCTGACACGAAGAGTGAAGTTACAAGGAAGCCCCACTGTCCGGAGAGTGGACTTTTTTTTAACAATTGTCTTCTCAGACCCCAGACAGGCTGCATTGTGAGGATGCCTGCTATATTGCCTGCTATATGCGAGCATCCTGCAGTCGCTGATCTGGACTATTAGTTTAATAGGAAATGCCAGTCCTACGGCCTAGGGGCGGGGCCTGGCAGCAATGGTCCCTTACTCTTTCTGACCTTCATTTTATTGGACAAGGAATCTGAAGGCTAGTCCCAGTTTCAGCTTTTGTTACAGTCTTTTTACCTGCCTCAAACCCCTCTTCTCCCCAGCGGCTGCTGAATGCTGAATGACGAGGTAATGCTGCCCAGGTTCACTCACGCTTGCCACTCCGTCAAGCATCAACAGAGTTAATGTACCCTGGAGAGAGTGCAGAAGACCATCCTCTGATGCAGAGTATAAGAGAGTGGTGTCTCTTTACCTCTGGCTTGGTAGCAAGCCCACCTCAGCCTGAGACGTGGCTGGAGAATCGCCTCCTTCCAATGGTGCTCAGGAGGGAATGAAGGCAAGAATTTAAACAGTTTATTTCCCCTAATTAAATACCCAAGAAAGAGCAGAACTATTAAAATGAATATTGGCAGAGTCCACCATGAGACCTAAGATCTAGTGATTTCAGAGATAAGAGCAATGAAGATGTTCTGCTGAGAAGTTACCCTGGTAGAAAAATGCAATGCCCAGGAGTTTGCAGACCACATCCTCCTGTGTGCCTCTGGTTGCTCAGATTGATCTTCTAGAAATTGGGAAGAAACGAATAACCCATCAGATGACTAGAAATCACTGCAAGGGCACAAGAAATATGCAAAACCAGGAAAATACCTCTCCCCCAAGGGAAAAGAATAACTCCTCTTCATCCACAGACAGTACAGTGGAATTCGTTGGAGAAAAAGAGGAGAGAGAGGAGAGAGAAAGAGAGAGAGAGAGAGAGAAGGAACATGAGAAATCACCCCCTAGAGAGGATGGCCACACCGCAATCTCTTCTCCATTCTCCTCTTGACATTTTGAGCATGCACATACACTTGCCTGGCATGTTTCTCACGGTGTCGGGCAGCAGGACTCAAAGACAGAGTTGGCCATATGGGATCCAGTGCCTTAACCATCATACCACCTGCAGGCAAGTTTTTAAAATGCAGATTTCTGACCTGCTTCCCAAAGATTAGGAATCTGTAGGTCTGGACCTGGGCCTAGGAATGTGCATTTTATTAGATCCTGATATGTCTCCTGTGGGTACTCCATGGACCGCACTTTGAGAAAATGTGAAGTTACATGATATTAAAAGCATCTTCCAACCCGGGTATTCCAAGTTGTTGTTATCCTTGTTTTAATTCAAAAGTCCAGGCCACAAGGATAGGGATAGGGTGAAGCAAGAGAAAAGCCTATTGTGCAAAATGTGAGGGGCTGTTCCTCTTAAGGCTTCATAGCCCTGAGGATGCAGCCTCCTTCAGTCTTGTGCCTAGGCCCCTTTTTGTTTCCCCATAAAGCTGGCCCTGCCACTGTCTCCGCCCTGAATCCCAGAGGGCCCTCTCATACCACATGAGGGAGGGGGCAGTGACCAGAGGAGAGAGGGAAGACCCACTGAAGGAAAGGATGTTTAGGGGGTGCTTGGATCTTCTCTTGAACATTCACCACACCTCACACCGAGCGAGATGAAATGGAGTTGTGAAGGCAGAGCCGCCTTACAAGGGTGAAGTCTTGTAAAGGTGAGGTCTGGGAGCACAGTGACAACAGCCTGGGCTGGAACTGGCCAAAACAGACAGTAGCCCTTTTTAAACCTGTTTCAACCCAGGGGGCCAAGCAGACAGAATTTCAAGTGATGGGCAGTCTTCCCAGACTTCAGTGAGGAAGAGAATCCTGGAGTTCCTGGGTAGCCTTTCCAGATGGCCCCACAGATGCAGCAGAACTTCAGAGTCGGTTTTTCTTCCAACCAGACGACTGTGTATGTAAGTAGAGAAATAGAGGATGTTTCTAAAAAAAATCAAGAGTCTTTGGAAAGTGATTATGAGACTCTTGTGCTATATGATAGTAATAATAATGATATGGCAGACATGTTAGAAAAACCATGGAGGTGGCCAACAGGTGGTGTGGGGGTTAAGGTAACTGCATCTCACATAGCAGACTCTGAGGTTCAAGCCCTGGATCAGGTGACTGAAAAATCACACCAGGCACACGTGCCCAAAATCCTGAGAGAATGGAGAATGGATTGTGGGGTGGCTATTCCATCCCCTCCCCCAGGGTGGTGGTGGTGGTGATTTCTCTTTTCCTCTGTCTCTGTTTCTGTCTCTCTCTATCAAACACTCATGCCTTATCACAGAAACAAAAAAAAAAAAAAAAGAGAGAGAGAGAAAAGAAAAGAAAAATAATGAAGGAGCTGAAAAATGAAACAGATCTAATGGTCACGGTATCCATGATAGGTAACCCAGAGATGAGCAACAGACAGTGAAGTTGCTGCCATTCTTAGAGCTTGGAGGTGGAAAGTCACTGCTGGAAATGCTGCTCACAGCGAGGTAGGTGCTGTGAATGGCCCCATTTCACAGGTGAGTAGCATGAGACACAGAGAGATTAAATAACTACCCAAGGCCACATAGCTACTTAGTGTAAGAGGACTTCAAAAAAGTCCTTGGACAGGGAACCAGCAGTTAGCGTAATGGCTATGTTGCTGGACTCCCATGTAGTCGACCGCGGTTCGCGTCCCGGACCCGGTAGCTTAAAACTCACGCCAGGCGCGTGTGCGTGCGTGCCCAAGATCCCGAGAGGAGAATGGAGAAGAAGGGATTGCGGCGTGATCATCCCTTCTGGGGGGTGATTTCTCACATTCTGTCTCTCTGTGTCTCTGTCTGTCTGACAAGTGCACGTGCCCTATAGCGAAAAAAAAAAAAGCTCCTTGGACAAATGGCGTTAAAGTATGAATTTATTTTGGTGCAAAAAAAATGTAAAATCTATGCAAAGTTTTTTCATAACATGCATGTTTCATGAACTTTTTTGAAGACTCCTTGTATGTAAGGAATTCACACTCAGGCAAGGCAATCCAGCACTGTACTCTGGACTACTATGCTTCTTGCCATATGCATAAAGAGCACATTGGAGGAAATGAAAGTAGAAACAAGTGAAAAATAATTTTTAAAGAATTATTTATTTATTCAATTCCATTTGTTATCATTTTTTTTAAAATTTGACCAGAGAGAGACAGAGAGACAGAGAGAAAGGGAAAGTGAGAAAGCAAGCCACCAGGTCCAGGACTCGAACCATGGTAGGCCATATGGGAATCCAGCACTTCAGTCACCATGCCACCTGCTGGCCCAGAAACAAGTAAAAATTAAACTGAATTAGGAGTATACATTTTATTGTTAGCTGAGGTGATCCTGTTGGTAAAAGCGAGTTCATGGGGCCAGCAGGTGGTGTAGTTGTAAAGGTGTACGCCCCATAACTGCCTGTGGTCCAAGTTTGGACCTGGTGACTTGAAACGCACACCAGGTGTATGTGCATGCGTATCCAGATCCCCAGAGAAGAATGGAAGACGAGGGATTGTGCTGTGGCCATCCCCCACTGGGGGTGATTTCTCACTTCCTGTCTCTGTCTCCCTAGTCAGTGTACATGGCCTAGCGCAAAAATCTCTCTCTCAAAAAACAAAAAGTGAGTTCATTTATTCATTAAATAGATACTGCCTACTCCACATCAGACACTGTAAAAGGATTATTTGGTAACCCAGTGTACTCTATAAGGAATTTTAATATCAAAGAATAATGAGTTAATGAGCATATGCCCGAGCTTAATTACAAAGGATTCTGTGAGTTGATGGGGATATGCCTGACTTCTTATTTTATTTTATTTTTATTTACTTTTTATTATTTATTTATTTATTTTTAAGGTTTTTACCATAAGGTGCATGTGTCTGCTGGAGAGACAGACAATGAGAGGTAAAGTGAGAAATCACTCTCTAAGAGGACAGCCACCCTGCAATCCCTTCTCCTTGATTCTCCTCCTGGGACTCCGGGCATGCAATGTATACATGGCCCAGGGTGAGTGTCAAGCCGGGACTTTAACCACTGTCAGCCATGCAAGAGTCCAGTGCTTTAACCACTATGCTACCAGCTGGCCCCTTGCTGACTTCTTGATAGAAGCCACAGAAATGAAGGAAAGAACCAAAGTTGGCAGAGACTAAGTTGTGCACCCTGCAAGAAGAGAGTCATGGACACTGACTTGCTCATTCAGGAGTGTCAATTCCCACTCTCTTCCCCAAGATTGTACAAAAGGTCGCCTTTGCTTTTATTTTTTCTTCTGTGTTATCCTCAAATGAATTAGTGCTATGTAACCAACCTCTGTTTTAAAAATGTTTTCCTTGGAAGGTCCAGCAGTTAGTGTAATGGCTATATTGCTGGACAACCACGTAGTCGACCACGGTTCGAGTCCCGGACTCAGTGGCTTAATCTCATGCCGTGCGCGTGTGCGTGCGTGCCCAGGATCCCGAGAGGAGAATGGAGGAGGAGGGATTGCGGCGTGGCCATCCCCCCTGGGGGGTGATTTCTCGCTTTCTGTCTCTCTGTCTCTCTCTGTCTGGCAAGCGCACAGGCCCTATAGCAAAAATCTCTCAAAAAAAAAAAAAAAAGTTTTCCTTGGAGAGTTTTCGATTCCGATGT